TTCAGAGCTCGTTGCGACTATTGTGAGACGCTTTAAACTCCATCAATAATGTATCGCAGCAATTAGAGCTCATTCAATCAGACGAACGGGTGATCCTGCCACGTGTACGGTCTTATACTCCAAGAGACGACTCCGTAATCAACGCGAAATTACACCTCCAACTCGGGGAAATGGTTAAAGAGTTTCTCAGCAGATTTTGCTTGGAATACTAGAATCACGTTTCGCATTTTTGCATTAAAAAAAATAAATTATTTACATTCCTTCCTCTTTTCGGACTTTTTAAATTCAAATTGAGATGAAATGTAGATAGAAAAGGAGTAACAAAGAGCAAGGAGAAGTGAGTAAGTTTTTTAATGAGTTTCGGTTGTTTGTGTCTACCTCGGCGGTCCGTAATCTCTCTAATAGTCTTAACTCGAAATATTAAAACAAATAAAAGCTTTTGACGTGGATCGAGACGAAGCTGTGATCCGGAGTTTGTTTAGATAGACAGGGCGATGGCGCCAACCACCGCTATAACAAAAATGAGAAAAACGCAAGTGTCTCATGTCACAGTCACGTCCCTTTGTGCATCTTCATTAGACGTTGTTTCGACAGTTTTATTTTTAGGACACTTAAAAGGTGATTTCTATTAAGCGGTAATTGCTTTGTGTTCGACTTGGAGTGTTTCTGCTCTGCAATTATGTCTTACTTTTAATTATTTTGTTTCCAAATATTGATACGGGTGAAGAATTTCAAAACTTGTTTTTTTCGGTGATGTGCTGACAAAGATATATGTTTTATCTTTCGAAATATTTTTTTAATTGATTTGAGGCATTTTACGCCGAATGCAATTAAATAACTATTTGAGCGGCAAAGTCTACCGGTCAAGGTGATGTCGGCTGCGTTTTAACGAAAATGGACTGTAATTGCTAGCGGAATTGTGAAATTATCAACAATGACACATTTTCAAAAATTTTGAAGCGTAAAGTAGCCAACGGCAAAAATAATTTTCAACAGAGTGGAAGAACAAGTAAGAAGAAAACAAAAACTTATTTTAGTTACTTTATTTTAAAAATAAAGCATTATTACAGAAAGTGTTTCCTATGACTATTATCTATACGAGTACTTAAATTACTTAGTTTGAAGATCGTGCAATGGTTTGATTTTAATAATGTTTTTTCTACTTAAAATACCCCATCACAAATAGTGGTAATACATTAATTACCTAATATTGTGTACGATAATTCATAAAAATGATATACCATCATTCTGGTGGTTTTTAGAACCACTGAGTTACTTTCACGTTTACAAACAAAAATTTTGTACCTACATATATCTAACTAACTTGCCTTAAGTAAATACAGTATTATTTAATGAGGAACATAATTTTGTGGTTTATTGGTAAAAGTCTTTGCATCGAGAATTTGGTCAGGCTCATTATTCCTCGTGAATCACCCTGTATAAATGCTTTTTTGTGAGCAAGAACGGTGACGTAAAATTACATGCGCCATGTAGGTATTTTTACAAAACGCTGTAATTTTGTTGTAAATTGATTTTACAATTAAAAATAAACACATAGTATAAATTTACATTGGTTTTATTATTACATTGGTAAATTACATATTGCTAGGTAAATTTTACATGGAAAAAAATAGGGGTTTACAAGATGTGTTTTTGTAAATATGTTATGTTTTATCATGCGCCTGGTAAAATTTATAAAGATGAAGGTGTAAAAATGTTGTTTGTGCTAATAGTTGTACTTGTGTTAATACTGCCGAAAATAACATAAAAATAGATATTTTTTAAAAATATTTTTACACTTTCATATTTATACACTTTATTAACCACATAAACACTCATACAGAAGTAACAAAGTGTTGTGTGTGCAAAGTGTGCATCAAAGTTGGGCATTCAGGGCTAAAAATCCACCTTGTAGATCCATATCAATTCCCTACAAAATTAACAAATCTCTCGAAAAATTTTCCGGAAACAATCAACACACTGGGGGTATTATAAGTAAAAATTTTTTCTTACTTGTTTGGTAGTGCTTGCTTATCTGGATCTTTGCAGAAACTCCAGGGTTGTGGCAATAGCGTTTGGATACTCCAGATTATAAGTATCAAGACGTTTTACATATAAACATAAAATCTGTCAGCTAAAATATTATTGAATGTGTAACTTACCTAGTTAAAATAAAAATTACTTACAAAATTCAAACAAAATTTAAATAAAACTTCCACTATATTTCGATGAAACAATAAATGAGTATATGTATTATATTTGTGTATTGATATAGTAATTTTATCTGACACATGCCACACTTAAACATATTGCTAAAATATAAATAATAATAATATAATAATATAAAAGATTAACTTATTTTGCAAAAACTTAGCCACTCTATATCTTTACCAAAATTTGTAGGTACATTCTTATATTACTTAAGATATGTAGATCATATCAAAGTGCATGATTTGCATAAATTGGTAAAATGGTTAAATGATGTACATTGACGGACAATGAGTTTCGTTCCGTGAATTCATAAAAATTCACTGTAGTTTGTGCTTTATTGCCATGATATCTCACATTCTAATACGTATTGTCAAATTTAATCAAATTCTTATGTATTTTGGAGCGGATTTTCAACCTGAAAATAAATTGTTACTATACCTCAAACAATGTAAAACAAATCTACTAGAATGAATTTTTTGAGGTAATACCTATGTTAGAATGCTAAAAAAACTTTTAAAAGCTTCAATAGTCTAAATACAAATTTTGAAAAAGTTATATATTGAATTCCCTAATTTTGACCTAAAAGAACTCAATGTATTACACATCTGTAGGTAGATACTCTAGATCATAGAAATGATCTTTTAGTGTAACAGGAATACCTAAATCTATAAAAATTGCAAGTGTCGTTTGTAGGTTTTGCCATGACATTTTTTTTTATTTCTTTGATATTCTAGCTGGAAAACTCCTAGAAGAAACAAAAAAATTAATCTTTACAGCACCGAGAGGTTCATTATAGAATCAAATGTTCACGTTATCAAGTGGTCTTATTTTACACCTACATACCTATTATAATTTTTTTTTGTCAAAAATTTATTTTTTATTTATTTTGTAGTACTTATAGGATATAATTTTAATAGTGTTTTTAAGTGTATTGTAAATAGTATTTTTTATTTAATTACAGCAACCAATGATGTGTGAAACAAGCTTATAGGAGAGCATTTTATTAATAAGTATATAGAATATACAGGGTGATTCACGATGAGGAATAATGAGCCTGACCAAATTCTCGATGTAACCAACATTACAGTTGTCGCAAAATAACTTGCGAATAGTAATGGTGGTTGCATCGAGAATTTGGTCAGGCTCATTATTTCTCGTGAATCACCTTGTATACACAGAGTCGTTAAAAAGTATGGATACAGTTAAATATTTTCAGAACGGTTCAATTTGGAAAACAGATTACTTATTTTTTGGTCAAAATTCAGGCGGCAAAGAGCTAACGATAGATTTCCAAGGCTAAAAAAATTACATTTTTCAAAATTTAATTATAGTTCGATAATTTTCGATTAAAATAAAGTAAGCATTGAACTCAGAAAAAAATGCTCTTTTTAAAAATATTAAATTTGACTCTTCTTGCCATTAAAAAAAATCAAGTTAGCCTTGTATTCCCAGAACAAATGGAGATAGAAATTTGATAAACATCTGAGGCGATGGAATTTAAATATTTTTAAGCATAAACCAAATTTCAATAAGTTTTGATGAATACTTTTTAGCGACCTGTACAGGGTGCGCCAGAACTCGTGCCCCAGAGAAAAATGCCATATAAAAATCAAGTTTTTTTGCTACAGGCTATAAGAAGAGAAAACAAGGAAGCTGTATCGTAAATTGTAACTATGTTCAATGCTATTGACAAAATTTTTGTACTTTTATTAAGTACAAAAATGATCAGTATCATTAAATAGACCAAAAAAAATTTCTATAAGAAGAGGAACCAAGGAAGCTGTATCGTAAATTGTAACTATGTTCAATGCTATTGACAAAATTTTTGTACTTTTACTAAGTACAAAAATGATCAGTATCATTAAATAGACCAAAAAAATGTCAAATGTCAAAAAATAAATGTCAAAATTTTTGACAGATACAATTTTTTAAACAATTTTTCTATGTTCTTGGTATATTATCTTACTTGAATTTTTTCTCTGGGGCGCGAGTTCTGGCGCACTCTGTATATAAAGTTACTTACTGATGGTAGTGGAATACCAAAATGCTAATATTGCTAAATTGTTTTTTGAGTTTGGAAAATGCATAATTCTTCTCTTGATTTAAATTTCTGATTGTTGTTGTATTAGGTACCTAAACACTACTAGTAGTAAAAAAAAGTTGGGGTTTTATTTATTTTTTTCCAGGATTTTAGTAGACTATACAAGATGTTTCAGAACTCACGCCACAGAGAAAAATTTCAAGTACAAGGTAATATACTTGCAACATAGAAAAAATGTTAACATCATGCAATAGTTTTTATTGTTTGAATTACACCTATAGGTAGGACACCTTTGTAAACCACTAAAGAATAACTTAGTATAATAGTGCAAACATTTTTTTCAATTGAGTATAATAGACTTTAAAAAAGTTTCAATAACATGGTTATTTTTATAAGACCCGACCTTTCATCCACACCAGTCGTATCAACCCGGTGTATACTTTCCGAAAACCACCATTAACCATTTCATCCCCGAAAGGCGATCCTACCTCGTCTATAAAAAGGCGTATCTCGTCCGCGATTCCGTCGACATTATCTATAAGAGAACACCACTTTATCCATCACTTCTCGTTATCCGGCACAAAGCCTCCACAAGTCCACACTTTTGACTGACACCAGCTCCACCCATAGCTCCTCCGCTCCCCTCCACTCTCGCTCCCATTGGCTTTCTTGTAACCAAGTAACCAAAGTCCCATCCCCGTCCGCACCAATGGTCGCCTCGACGATCTCGCCTCAGTGTTACCGCGGCCTCTACCTGGCAAGGTGGCGTGTGATGGTGCACTAGCCCAAGCTGGCAACCCATATGGCGCTCGGACTCAGCTCCGGACTGTGCTCCGGGAGCTCCGGACCCGGTTCCGGGAATCACTCGGAGACGTCGTCTTCGCCCGGCATCAGCGTGCCCATCCCCGTGGCGCCGGCGCCCCTCGTGCCCAATCCCATGTTCGCCCTACCGACACTCAACTTCACCGTGGCCCAGGTGGCCGCCGTCTGCGAGACCCTGGAGGAGAGCGGCGACATCGAGCGGCTGGCGCGCTTCCTCTGGTCGCTCCCGGTGGCTCACCCCAACATCGGCGAACTGAACAAAAATGAGGCCGTGCTGAGGGCCCGTGCCATCGTCTGCTTCCACAGCGGCAACTTCCGGGAGCTCTACTCCATCCTCGAGTCCAACAAGTTCAGCAAAAGCTCGCACCACAAGCTGCAGGAGATCTGGCAGCTGGCGCACTACCAGGAGGCGGAGAAGCTCCGAGGGAGGGCGCTGGGACCCGTGGATAAGTATCGAGTGCGGAAAAAGTTCCCGTGGCCGAGGACGATTTGGGACGGTGAACAAAAAACGCACTGTTTTAAAGAAAGGACTAGGAGTTTGTTGCGGGAGTGGTATCTCCAGGACCCGTATCCAAACCCGACGAAGAAGAGGGAATTGGCGCAAGCGACGGGACTGACGCCGACGCAAGTGGGGAACTGGTTCAAGAACCGGAGGCAGAGGGATCGAGCGGCCGCCGCTAAGAATAGGTGAGTTTTATTTATTGCCGAGAAGGCGAATAAGTAATTAATGGCTTCGGATGGACGTAAATCTTTCTGGGATGCGAGATGGAGCAGATTAATCACTAGGTGCTTACCGCTTGAGAAATATTTACTTTCGGGAGGGAACTTTAAGTGAAGGCCGTGTATAATACAAGAAGCTGCTACTGTTATACTGCTTTAGATTTTTTTTGGGAAAATAACATGGTTAAACAGTCGAAATTTATTAGTATAAAACTGATTAAAAGAAATTATACTTAGTATGTACCTGAGTAGCTACATACCTAATTAGAACAAAAATAGGTTTTGGGGTAAAAAAATTAACATAAAACATTTAATTTAGTGACAATTATTTATCAAAAATACTTACAAGAGTATAATAATGTAATGTAAATAATAATGTTGGTTATCTATTAAATTTATAAATCAAAATATTATTAAAATTAAGATTTAAATCTGTCAAATCTCAAACGATTAATTAGTTAGTTTTTAAATTTGAAAACGATATTTAAAGTGGTATGTAGAATGTTAAGACCTGATACACAAGTGGATTTTTTTTAGGTAAACATGTAACAGTTTGCATAAATAAGTAATACCTAGAAAAGTTTTTATCTTACCTATTGGTAAGATTGATTACCACTTTATTAGGTGGTTAAATTATTCAAGAAAAAGAAATGGTGTGTATCTACCTATTACGTATTTTCTGCAAAATAATATTAGGAAGCTAATTAGTTAAAAGTAAATTTTAAATAGCCTATAATACAATGTAGTATAGCTATGCTTCAAATTATAGCACCAAGATTTGTTGTATAGCAATTTCTACTATTTGACACTTTTTTGGCATTAGGTATAAAAAGAATACAAATCTAATTAATTATGTTATATCTTGTGTAATCAAAATAGAGTGAATATCTACTCCTAAAATTAGATATTTTTTTATGAATGGTGTGGTATATATATTGAAACTTTTGATTCAATGTTGAGGAAAGAACAAATTAGTAGAATATAATCTTTATTCCTTATTTTATTATGTGTTTTAATGTCTTTCATAATTTTGTAGGAGGCTGATTTTACCTACTTTTAAATATTTATTTAAATTAAGTAGGTATATGTATTTCCTTGAAGTAAACTAACATGTACCAACTTAAAATGATTTTATAATATTAAAGATTTTACTTTTGATATAAAAAATATTTACAAAATGTCAGGGTGTTATGTGAAAGTTTTTTTCAAAATAAAAATACAGAGTCGTTAAAAACTATAGCATTATAGATAGATAAAGTGCGCCAGAGCTCGCGCCCTAGAGAAAAAGAATAAGGTAAGATACCAGGAACATGTAAAAAATGTTAAAAAAAATTTATCTATAAAAATTTCAAAGTTATGAGAATTTAAAGTTTGCACTTTGACTATTTATTTCTGCTGGAAAAATAATTTTCCAAGTTTTTTTGCTATAGGCTATTAAAAGAGGAAATAAGGAAGCTGTATCCTAAATTGTAACTCTGTTTAATGTTATTTGTGGCTTTTATTGGCAATTTTTTTCTCCCTTTACTATATAATTGTAAAAAAAACATATACAAGATTATCAGTATCATTAAATATATATAAAAAAATGTCAAATGTCAAAAAATAAATGTCAAAATTTTTTGACAGAGAATTTTTTTCATGTTCCTGGTATCTTATCTTGCTTGAAAATATTCTCTGGGGCGCGAGTTCTGGCGCAGCCTATATATAATATATATAATAAAAAGCGGTTTATCAAATTGTATAGGTAGTATATTATTAAAATCAAATTTAATATTTTTGAAAAGAGCATTTATTTCTTAATTAAATGATGTAACACATTTATTAAAAGGTTCTATTGTCTATTTCTTTATTTATTGGACCTGCTGAGATTTTGAGTGACGTTTCGTGTTTTAAATTTTGTAAACAATTACTTAATGAAAATATTATAGACGAATTTTGGACAATTAATATTCAACTATAATATCAATACCTACTTTTTTGTGATAATACCCCAGTATTAGGACAAAAAACAAATATTCTTTCCTTTTACATGTTGTCAAAATCCGTAATTTCAGTAATTTTCTTAAAAAAAATTAAAAAAGCAGGATAGTGGGTCAGAAAACAAAATATTTGTAAATAAATTATAAATAGAAAATAATGATATTAAAACAACGTTTCTGTTCAAATATGATGGCTGATGTAGTTAAAAAATAATGTAATTACAGAAACTGTTAAAAAAAAACGCTGAGAAAATTATAGTAAATAATAGACAAATAAATAAAGTATCTTCTGTATGGCCCTCTTAATGGAAATATTTTTTCTTTTTCTCATTTAAATGTAGCAATTGCGAATAGGTTAAATATCGTGACCAGATCTACTTGACTATTTCCCCAAAGCAAGCGTTTCCTCGCCTAATAACATAATCTGGCCTCTTCGGCTAAAACGGTCATCATAAACACTGATATAATACTTTGATAAGCATGTAAACAGAGCTGCTCCAACCGGCAATAAAAGATTCCGGTAGTCTTGTTCAATAGGCCGTAAATCAAGCGGTAACGTGTAATTATTACAGCATAGGCAGCGATCCGCCGCTTACTATACGTCATTTTTATTTTATCAGCGTGAAACAGACTTTAATTCGTTGGATGCCACCGTGAAATTTTTTCCTCGTCGAAGACAAAGTACCAAATAATAACTCGTTGGGAAAACCCAATCCGACTTAACTTTGGGGTATTCCCATCGTTTGGACAATCACAAAGGATTAGGATTAGAACAGATTACCTGGTTTCGCAAAAATTTGGAAAATTAGAGATAAGTATCGAAGTGTTGCAGGCGTTTCCTGTTCTAGTTATGAATGAAAGTTGTGCTATCAATTTGTGATTAATGTCTGAATAGTGGAAATAAGCAAGTTTCTCGTCGTTACGCGATACAATGCACAAAATTAAAATTCCTGAGTCTGCTTGATTTGTGTATACTCGTATTGTAAATTAAATAAATAAACAAACCGATTAACGGTTCGCTTATTAATTAATTCAAGTACATACTCGGAAAATTTTTGTCTAGATTTATCAAAAAACAAATCAGTGTTTGAAGAGATGACGAGGGAGATTGTGATGTGTTCATGTTCTGTGAACTATGGGAAAGCAGCCCTAACTTAATCAGAGTAATAGTATATTATAGGGTTATACAAAGCGACGGTACAATGTACTTCTCTGTGGGGTAAGAATCACATTTGGGTAATACAATTTGCCTCGCTAACACATTGCTGCGGGACATGGGTATTCATCTCGCGTAGATATGATGAGATTCGAATACGCTATTTGTGGCAAAAAATATAAAATATTATATTGCTTTTGTTAAACTCTCATAAATATTAATTTTCACAACAAATTAATTATATCAGATTACTTCAAGTAATTAAGCGAAATAATAAAAAACTAGCAATTAATCTAAAACGCAAATTACGCTATACACCCAGTATATCATTTATAAAAACACACATAAATTTATTATTCTCCCAACACCACCGACGATAAAAACTAAAATATTTGTTGTAACCAATGGAGATAAAATCTAAACAATAGATTATAATAGTATGCAATATGCATGAAACAAATAAATTACAAATACTAATACATTTATGTCAGACATGATTAATGACACGAGACTATTTTTACTATTTCCCCCTCCCTGTTAATTAAAAAAGGGCATCGAGTGTTTTAACACCCGAAATGTTTGCCAACACTCATGCAGGCAGCTCTTCACGCCACTTAATTTCGAGTATTTTGCGCCACCCTCTAACATATTACCAAGTTATTTACTTTAGAAGAGGTTTTAGGCAAAATTACATACTTTTCAACAGTGATAAAATTAGATACTTCTGAAGTTACTCCAAATTTTGAAAAAAACACTAAAATTTTTTCACAAACGAAAGTACCTACATTCACCAAAAAAAATATCTTTTTTATAATTAAAAGATTCCATTGGTGACACCAAGTGCAAGTTTTTGTGGTACGAGAAATAATGTCTTCTTGCAGAAGAGTTAAAAATAAACAAATAGATTTGTTTTAACAAATTTTTTAAAATGTTATGTTAATGTCAAATTTTATATTGTTATTAACAATCTAGACTAAAGATGGGACCTGATTGTTCCCGAAACATGTTTCGTCCTCAATTTTAATCAAATATATATTTTTAAGTTTTGTGCAGGAAGACATACTTCGTACCTTCCTTGAAAGTATCTTTTCTTTAGTCAAAACTTTTTCTAAAACTTGTACTCGTAAGTTCAAATAAACAAAAAACTCATACTGTTTGATAAATTCATGTTTTTTTGGCTTGGTAAAACTAAAGCTTTTCTGAGTTGGATTACAAATATTGAAGCAAAATAAATGTAAGCTTTGTTGAAATTAGCTGATAATTGTTCCTCAGGTCTATTAAAATAGCGCGTTTGGTGTGGAGGTGAAATTTATGTGGAAGTGACCGGACATAGAGATAAAATCTGGTGGTAGTTCCTGGCATCATATCCGGTGTCTAAATTGCCATTAAGGTTGTTGTAAATGAGTTCTTAAGTAACGCGTGCTTTCGTGTTAACCGTTATCGATCGATCAGCTCGATGTAATCTAATGTTTCGGTGCAAAAATAACTATTTGTGGCTTCGAAAAATCCGGCGCGGATCTTTCTCCTTGTTAGAGCGTCTTATTTCGACACGCTGGAAGTGAAACTCTTCGTATCGTCTCGCTTAAAGTGTAAACCTCTTCGTGTTCATCCGACTTGAATCCGATCTTAGTTTGGTTGCTAGATAGTGTTTCTAATCCGATTTTGGTAAGGATACGACAAATTCGCTGTCAGACTTGATCTGGGTACGAAAATAACAAGGATTTTGGTTCGGATTTTTTTCCAGTGTCTTTAATTACGTAATGAGAAATTTTATACCCGATAATTTGAGCACAGACGCTCTAACTTCCTGCAAACACAATATTATTACGTGA